GGAGGGAACAGTTGAACCTAAACAAATAGCCTGGAGAAAGAACAAACCTAAAACCAAAAAATTGCGTCAGCTATCACAAATCAGAGAACTGCTGGGCAACCTGTTCCCAAATAAGTTTTAGCAAATAATAAAAGCATTGTACATGTGCTGGTGAAGCTTCTTAAAACAATTGAATCTGAAAATGACACTAAGTCCTAGTTTAACATTTTAGAAAATCACATCTTTACTAAGTAAACATTAAAATTCAATTCAGTCTTATTTTAGGTATGTATTAACTTCATCTGAAGAGACTCTGAAAAGCCAAGACCTTCTGTAGGACATTCTTTCAGTGTTAAAGAAATTGCTTTTCTAGATAGATTTAATTTAGTCCCATCATCAACTATTCTAAAGATCTAGATATTTAGTATCTCAAGTTGTCTAATATCTTGGTAATGTTGACGCTGTTATGCTAAACTTAATACTGGCTTTGGAATTTCTGTTTCAAATTGCAGATTTAAAAAGTGTGCGATAACTTTCTGCTTGCTTTGTGTCCCAACTACTTCCTGAACTTCTGTAGAAATAGGCTTTTTAATTTTTAACTCAATGTCCTAGAAGCCTGGAAATTACTTTAGTGAATGCCAAAATGAACAAACTGTTAAATTCAGGCAGTCCTGTAAAGGAAGAAAAGTGATCAGGTGTAAAGTCTCTCTGACTACTTTGCAGATGCAGAGAAGCTGAGTATACTTTCCATCTTTGGATGGAGAAAGACAAGAGGAGTAGAGATAAGCAAAAGAGAAGAAAAGATACCATAACAGAAGTCTGAGTGTCATGAATGATGTAGAGGTCATCACTAGGACAAGAGGAAATGGTCTCAAGTTGTGCCAGGGGAAGTTCAGGTTGCATATTAGGAAGAACTTCTTCACTGTAAGAGTCGTTAGGCATTAGAATGGGCTCCCCAGGGAGGCAGTGGACTCACCATCCCTGGAGGTGTTAAAAAAATGTTTAGATGTGGTGCTTTGAGACATGGTTTAGTGGGTTTAGCAGGCATGGTGGCATTGGGTATACGGTTGGACTTGATGATCTTTGAGGTCTCTTCTGACCATAATGATTCTATGATCAGTGGAGGCTATGTCTAGATTATTTCTAGCCATAAAGGAGTTAAGGGAAATACAGTGGAACTGTGAACCAAATGTTTTTTTTCTTTTTAATTGCCATGTACTGAATCAGATAACCAAAGAGTATTAAAAGACCAAAAATATAAATGGGTAGAAGGCAGAGTTAGGCAAATTTTTGAAGAATGGGCTTATTTGTGGATTCTTGAGTATTAAGATATAACTTACAGCTCATAAAGTCCCTAGACTGATTGCTATGTGCTTCCAATGTAACTTGTTTTGTGTAATCTTTTTTGTGAACAGAGCTTCTAGCAACAGAGTAGTTCAGTGTAATGAGGTCTGTTCCTGTGAGGAATCATTGACATGCTAATTTGTGTTTTTTCTTTTTTTTTTTTCTTCAGTCTCCCACAGTCAAATCACCCGCTTGTATAGTCGCTTCACCAGCCTAGACAAAGGAGAAAATGGCACTCTTAGGTGGGTATTCTCACTAATTCAGCTGTTCTTGCATTGCCACATATCTGTAATGGTGGCTTGCTGTTGCAAGATGCCTGCATGTTTTCCTCCTATGGTGAATCAGTGAGGCTATTATGACAGGTTCTTTCATACCTACTGTCCACATAGCCATTCGAGTTTGTTCTCTTTCATAAAAGGTCAGGAGAAGTGTGATTGTTGAACCGAGGTGCTCTAAATACCAATTGTCTTTACTGTAGTGCTGAAGGTTTGTGGCAGTTCATACAAGAAAGGTCAGATTTGGTGTTCAAGGTGTTACAACAAATGTTCAGAAATGTTAAACCACATTTTTAGATTGTAATTTCTTACTTATCTTAATAATTACTAGAAGCAACATATAACAAGAATGGTTCCACTATGGCTTCATCCTGGCCTTCATAACAAAAAGATCATTTATATTTTTGGGAGCATGAGCTCTTAATTGTTTCTGATACTCAGTGATTTTTAACACTACTTTGATCTGCAAGCCATTTACTATTCTTTGCACCTCTTGCTGAACACCCACGTCTATTAGTATGCTCAAAAATAAAAAGAAAGAGCTGGAACCAAGTCTCTGTGACTAAACAAATACACACTTTATTCTTTAAAGTAGTAGTGCAGGATATTCCAAGATCTTTAAAGTGTTTGTCTTCTGTCTGTAATTTGAAAACTACAGAAGTGAACAAGTTTCTTACAGCTTAATTAAATAAAGATGAGGCTTAGACTTTATCTGCAAAACATTTTTCACTTTGATGGACTGAGTCTGCTGGAAAGAGTATTCTCAATTGAAAGGTAAACTCTAGTGTGATGAGTGCCTGTTAAAGTATTTCTCTGCCTGCTGTCTTTGTTCTCTAGTCTTCGCACTCTGGTTATTATATTGCCTGTTGGTTTGCTCTTTATTTACTGAACTAATTATGAATTCTGATTGTATTAAATTACTTATTATTCTCTTGATGTTGCCTACAGATTACATTAATGTTATGGAAACATATGACAAATAAAGTGCAGTCATGGATAGCTCCACGGGTGCCATTTTGCAACCAACATAGTTGGTCTAAGACCATACTGCTGCTGAAAGTCTGTTGCTTTTCTGTGTTGATGCTGGTACTCAAGGCTGTCTTTGGAAACTAACATACAGCTTTGAAAACTTGCCAAGCAAAACAAGAAAAAAAGGAATCTGATCAGTGTTCAGGTGGATTTTGTTTCCCATTCACCATATAGCCTCATATGCCAGAACCAGTGCACAGGGAAGCTGGAGAGAATGCACGAGAGAGTAGGAAGGGGAAAGGGACCTTGTTGTAGCATAGTATATTGGGTCTGGCTGGGATAGAGTTAATTTCTTTCATAGCAACTCTTAGTCAAACCCAGGGAACATAGATTCAGAGATCACTGGGGATTTTGTATGTGATGTTGCAAAATGTGATTGTAGGATGCACTGTAAACCTATGAAAGCTAGACCTACCTATAAACCAACCTCACTCTAAAGCTAGAATCACTGCTTAGAAGATGGTGACAAGTTGTAAGATACACTGTCTTTGACAATACTGCTGGCTTACTGCAGTTTCCTTTCCTGAAGGAAATATGCAGTTCCTTCTGGTGCCACAAATTGCTGACTTCTCAGTTAACATTTAAGTAATTGGTTGTGGAGTTGTACTGTAAACAGAACTACTGAGTGATTATTTTTGGTTAAAAATACTCTCCTCTTTTGGCTTGTGTAGGTATTTTTAAGCTGACTGACTCCAGTGATTTTGACTGTGGCTGTACTGTAAATATCTGGACTTGCATAGCTGAAGGGATGACAAAATGCATTGTGGGTGTGGAAACAATTGGCTTGGGATGGGCCGGGCAGGAACTTCTTAAGCCCACTTTGTCACCAAAGCCAGTGTATCCTATAAATTGTAGCACTGGCTACATGTGACAGACAAATCAGCTGATGATATTGTAGGTAAGGTTAAGACTACTTATGTCTCAAAATTAACTTCCTTGAAAAAGAACAGTAACAGCCTCTTCAAACTTTGCATGTGGATTTAGTCTTCACTGATGAACAAAGGTGATGGCTGCCAGACTAGTCTAGTATAATTTGAACCTAGCACACATTCTTCCTCAACTCTTCCCTCCAACTTTAAATTCACCTACTGAGTCCATAAAGTTTGCATAAACTTCAGAGTGGTTGTACTCAGTTTATGTAAGAGGAGTAATTAATTAAATATGCTATGAATGTCTGTTGCACAATGCTTAGTTTCATAGTGTTATGTATCAGGAGGAGTTCGACTTTCATTGTTGATAATCACATGGTACTTGGAAAAGGAAGTGAAATTTGTTTGGAAAATCCCAGCAACTATGCAGATTTTGATCCCTTAGCTTGCAGTCCTGGCCTTTAAGCATAGCCTGCTCCCAAATGTGGCTGACTTGGTGGCATTCAAATTTTGAAACCTGTCCTGGCACCCACAATATGTGGAAACCATTACAGTCAAGTAATGGAAAACTACTTCCTGAAAAAAAAATGAGGGGAGAGTAAGAACTACAGCTCAGAAGGTTGTAAATGTTGGTTTCTGAAATACAGATCAAAGAACTTGCTACTTTGAGACAAGCAAGATGAAGTTATCACTTACTACCACCAAACATTTTAGAAGGCATGTCTTCTGTTTGTTTCCTGTGAGCAAGAGTAATTGTTTCTATAAGAATGACTTACACCTTTGACTTACAAATCGGACATGACAGAAGTCACTCATGTGACTATGATCAGGAAAAGAAGTGTTAGGCATTCTTTATGGCATGAAGTAAATCTTTAAATGTGTACCACCCTTCTGAAGAAGGGGAAAAGTTGTGCTTATCCTTCTTATCTATGTATTAAAAATGGGCAAGGTAAAGAACACTTTGTACAAAAGATCTGGTAGATGATGATTAATCCAGGTGGTTAGAGAAGACAGGTAGTTCATTCTGAAACTGTAATCAAAAGCTGAAATCTTTCCTAGCCAGATGTTTCTATCAGCGTACCTATGTGCCGTTTCAAGGCACTTTCTTTTCAGAGTTACATAAATGAGACATGAGGAGGGTATTGATGGAGACAAAACTCCATCATACCTTGTTTTGGTGCCTTTTTTTTTCCTTCTCTTCTGATTAACTCTTACCAATTCTTTAAAAGTGTAGAAAAATATTATATTTTTTCATAGCTTCATTTTTCCTAAACAAAATGAGTAAGCTTCCTCAGACTTGCACCATCTGAATGAAACCAGGTTGTAAAAGCCAGGACAGAACTGTTCCTTTGAAAATTCTTTTGTCACTTGTGATTTCAATATTGTGACATGTTGAGTTGCCAAAACAAAAGGTTGATACCCTTGGATGTCCATAGCTACATCTAAATTATGAAATCTGAAACATACTTGTTCTACCTACATCCTAACTACAGGTCAGTAGGAAACCAGTGTGCATGTTTTCTTCTTTACATTCTGATTTCCAAGATGAGGAAATTGAAGCATATGACCAGGATAAGTGTGTGCTTGCTTCAGTGAGTCTCCTTGTTGGGCTGGTTGAAGTGTACACCATACAAGGATACATCTGCTCTAAAATTTATCTACTAGTAAGTAGCTCTAGACAGGAACATATAGAGCTATAAAAAGGAGATACTTGTCTAAACTGCTCCTTCTGCATCTAACTTCTGTATGGAGCCTCTCACTTTAACAGTACTTTCTTCTGCACTGGGGAAATGACAGGTTGAGCACTTCAGAAGTATTTTTTACTATACAGCAATTGGTACAGCCTGGTGAGTGTAGAAGAAGGAAGGGAAGGCAAGTATTCTGAAAGCCAATACCTGAGGAGAATAGACACAGTGAGTTGTTGATGCGTATCTCATGCTTATGAAAGCTGTTCACAAGATGGTGTGTCCTGGAGAACTTCAGAAAGCCTTTGGTCCTGAGAGAAGGGTGGCAAGACCTTGCAGGGCCATCTGTTAATCTTTGTCAGTGAATTGAATCATCTCAGCCTGGAAAGGTGTCAGGCTTGTTCTTATATGTTCAAACTGATATTGCAAGACTTCAAAGGAAAACATAAAAGCTAGGTCTCTGAACATGGAATTATTTACCTTTACTTAAGAAAATGCAAAAGATTTCTAGCTTTATCTAAAACAGACAAGACAGGCAGGATATGGGTTTGGATCGGAAAGTGATAGGGTACTAGAATAGTCTGTACTCCTGTCCTCAACCATGCCTTATTCACACTCTTTTTTTTTTTCTTCCCCTTCGCCCATTGCTTATCTAATTACCACCTTTACTTTTACAGTACTTCATGGCCTAATGTTAATAAACCAATTACTCCTCTGATAGTTAAGCAACTTTTTAATTGTGTAGAGCATGTGTAAGTTAGATGAGATGGCCGACATGGCCCTGAAAGAGGAGGATGTCCATCTTCTTTCCCTGTCATTTCTCTAGGCTCCCAGCACCTCTTCTTTGTCAGCCATGGTGATGTTAGATTTTTGAATTTTTTAACTGCTTCAGGTTGCTAATTCAACAGAAAAATAGGAGGGTGGAGAGGAGGAAAGTGGGGAGCTTTTTTGGGGGTTAGTGAGATAGATTAGACAACCAAAAGGTTTGATGAATGACAAAGCTAATGTTGACAAAGGAAGGGAGCAGTGAAACCTCTTCAGTAGTTACCTGTTAAATCTGTTTGACTGTCTTGATAATACACCTTACTACTTTTAATTATTTCCCTTTCTCAAGTAATTTCTTGTTACCTATATCCTCTGGACACTTTTCCTTTGCCACTTCTGTTTCGCATATGGTTTGTTTTCTCTCCATTGTTTTATTTTCCCTCCTCTCTAGATAGCCCTATGCTGCTCATTCCTGTTGAGGGAACAGTACTCTGCTGCTATCTAGAAGTAACAGAAGGATGAACAACCAGAAATAATTGAAGAAAAAAAAGGGTCTAGTAGGTTTCTTGCAGCCTTTGGGGTGAGGCAGAGCCACCTTTACGGTAGGGATCTGCTATGTGCCTTGGATGGTATACTCAGAAATATTTGTCTTACTGAGAATCTATAAATTCCTTACTGCAAAGTATGTCTAAATGTGAATGTGCTGGCATATATATCAGATGGTTGGCCTGCATAGTGATAACGTGCAGTTAAAGGTTGCTTTGCATGTTACATTCAAGCAAAGATTTAATAGAAGCCAAGTTCCTGGAAGACACATTAGAAGAGCCTTGTTGCTATGACACATGAATGCAGAAGTAGAGGGCATCAAATTTCCTGTAAGCTCCAGCCTCAGCCAGGTGAAGTTGGTCCCTAATGACTGCAGGAAGCCTTAGTTTATAAGGTGGAGAATAACTTTCTCATGCATTCATTTACTTTTATGGCTGTTATGGCTATTTCAGTTATAACACTCACTCAGTAATGTGCTGTTAATAAGCAAAAATGGTCTACTGCAATTCTGATAATGACAGAACAAATAGATTTGAAACCTGCAGAGTTATTTGTGGTTAATTGTTAATCTCCTGTTAGAAAGCAAAATAACTGGAGGCTGAAATGCTGAGTGCAAATTGAGGCTAAATACTAAAAAGTAGTGATACGCAAGGAAAAAAAATCTGAAGCATGAGGATTTTGCTCTGAATGGCAGAGGAGGCAGCTGCTGCTTTTAGCTTTTAAATGTTAGCATTGACACTGAAGTCCTGTTGTTAAAATATTGTTACCAGGACATAGGCTTTCCACATCACTGCATCTCCTGCCTAAATTGCTAATGCATACTTTGCCCTTCAGCTACAGCTTCATATGCAGCAGTCCTGAAGGGTCTGGTAACCAGTTGATCATGTTATACAGATGTTAACTTTGCCTATTAAAAATAATTTGGACCTGGTCAGAGCAGAAGTTTGCTGGGATAGCTTAAAAATATGGTCAGGTCACTCTATTAGAAGGTCAGAGAGTTTCACTATGTTGTAATAGATATAATTGGGACTCTTAACAGTGCTGTGGTGTGACCAGGTGCAAGGAGTGCTTTAGAATGCATTGAAAACTAGAACGTCTTGCTTCTGTGCCTTTCCCAGGCTAGACTAGTAATAAGGTTAGCCAATTCCTTTTTTCCCTTGTCTTTAAGATCACAGTATTACAAAAGGCCAGTATACTTCAACAAATAATCTCAAAATCTGTTAATGTTTAAATTACTTTCCCAGTTTTTTGTTGTAATGACCTAATGAATCAAACCTTGTTGCTGATTCATTTAGTAAGCATAGTTTTCAAAAGTAGCAAACATTTAGTAACAAAGTTTGAGACTTTGACCCAAACTTCAAAAACAGCAGGACTGCATTTGACTTGAAGGGAATTGCCAGTATTTCTGGAGATTGGGGAGGAAATGTCAAGTTATGCATCCAGACAGAATAGATTCTTTTTGTTAACGCCATTGCTGTTATCTTTGCAATTAAAAACCTAAATGATTATGGAGTACATCTTGTACTAAGTGATAAATTGCTGTGCTCTATTGTAGTGGAAAAACAAACAAACAAAAAAAACCCAAACCCCTGTTGACCAAAGTATTCACTAAGACATGCTTGGTGTGTCTGCCTTGGTCACACAGAGATATCCCACTTCCCTTTCTGACATTCTATTAGGTTGAAAGAAAAGACAAATTATTAGTGCAACTCTGATAATAGAATGAACCCTATGTTCATGTTATACTGATCTATAATGTGTTTACATTGGTACAGCTCATGATGTCTTCCAGAGGAGGAAAAGCTGTAACAATGTAAGCATAGCTATGCTTGCACTATAATGTGTACATGTCGTCATGAGCTGAAAAAAGAATGGCTGGCAAAAGCTGTGAGTATTTGCTATGTACTGATAAAGTTACATCTGGTGTACAGGCCCCTGTCAAAGTCTAAATTTACTACTTTAAAATAGGAATGCTGCTTGGTTGAAGCAAAAATAATCTGAAATTTGGCACTTATAATAAGATACAAAGTTGTTGCATAAATGAAAAAATTCCTATTAGAATATACAGATCACCTGTGGTAAGTTTGGAGGAGTATGGTGGTGTCCCAGAATGTGGAATGGGGTGGTCTGGAAAAATCATGCCAACTGAAATGATTCAGTACCAAAATAATGATTAAAAAAAACAACAAACCAACATTATTTTCATTTTGAAGCCATATTTTGCTTCAGAGCCATTTCAGAAGCTTTCCTTTCCTTAAATTGCAAACTAGCTGGCATCGTTACGGGAAGGTTTCTAGCACAATGTTAGCTGAGAGGTGCTGTTAACATGATAAATGAACACTGCTAGTTGATAATACAGGCTTGGCATTGTCTTTTGCTTTGTTTTGTGCCATTAGTCATGGAGAAAACATGATTTAAAGAGTTGCATTTTTAAAAACCACCACATGTCTTGCTGCAGAAATGGAACCCAATGGACATTTTACTGTAAATTCTTTTTAAGCAACTTTTTCCTCCTCTGACTTCAACTTTATGCGGACTTCCTGTGTTCTTGCTTTACTTAGCCGTGAAGACTTCCAGCGGATTCCAGAACTTGCCATCAATCCACTGGGAGACAGAATTATCAACGCCTTCTTTCCAGAAGGGTGAGTTCCAACAGACTGAATTTGCAAGCAGGTGCAAAATTTGTAGTTTGAAGTTTTGATAGGAGTGAAGTGCTGATAATTAAAGCATGGAATTTGAATTTACTAATAATTGAACACCTCAAACTTGTCATGAAATGTATGTGGGTACATTGTGTCCTCAGCATGTTTTCATTCTGTAATGAGAAATACACAAAAATCTTGTAAGGTTGAAGTGCTTTATTCATTGACAAACTCAGGCCTCATGTCACAGTTTTGCACTGTTCTTGCTGTGCTGCTGATTACTTCTAAAGTCGAGGGCATGTATGGACTTTGGTTCTTAAAGCAAACTTGTAGCAATACTATTTTATGCTAAATAGTATTGCAATTAACTAATTTAGTCTTGTTTTCCATGTTTTAGCCTCTGAGTCTACCTTTGTTATTAGATCAGCTTTGTTTGTTTGTAGTTTTTGATCACATTTAAGAGATAGCTTATGGCACTTCTAACATAAATCCAAAGAGATGATCAAATTTGCAGTACTATCTCTCTTCATTATATCTCCACATCATTCTATGGAATCTGCTGCTGTTCTTGAACACATTTGTCATTACTGATTGATGAAGGTTGGATTGTCTAATCAAGTCATATCAGCTAATACCAGGCAGGGCTTCCTGCATAGAAAGCAGGAGTCCTGGAAAGTACTTGCATAGCTGGTTCCCACAGAAACTAGAGAAGAGAGCTATTTGCTGGAGAGCAGTAAGCAATGGCCACCCACAAGCCGGAGCCGAGGGTGACAGCAAAGCTGGCAGGGGCAATGTACTTGCTGGCAAAGGGCACAGCACCTGAACAAGAAAAGCAGAGCAGGTCCAGTGACTGTCAGGTCAGCCAACAGTCCAGTGGCTGCCAGACAAGTTGACAGTGGTGAAGCTAGTCTCAGCTCAAGTCACGGAATCGGGGTCCAGATCACCAAGACAGATTGCCAGACTCGGGCATAGCTGCAGGATAGCTCAGGCAAGGGCCAAGGGTGAGAACTTCAGCTTAAACAGAACTTGCAGGCAAGGGGAACCCTCAACAAGTCTTTTTTTACACATCAAACTTCATAACAGTGTGATCCCAGGTTGCAACTGCACTGTATCAGAGCTGGGTTTGAGCAGAGGCAGCCAAACCTTGGGGAGGTGGGAGAGGAAGTGTCTGCGTGGTCTTGATGCTTTAGATGTTCATACTACTCTTTACTGAAATAAAGAACCTGTATAAGCTATGCTAAAACTGATGTGCTGAAATGCTTACACAGAGAGGACCAAGTGAATTTCCGTGGATTCATGAGGACACTAGCTCACTTCCGACCCATAGAAGATAATGAAAAGAGCAAAGACCAGAATGGACCAGAACCACTGAACAGCCGAAGTAACAAGCTCCACTGTAAGAAATGTGAACCTTCCTATAGAAGCAATTATTTTTCTTACTTTGTTTTTGTGGGTAGGGAGTGAAGGGGCTTGGGGTTTTCTGTAGAGTCGTTCCCTGTGGAGTGATACCCTCTAATACATGATTTTTTTTTTAATGAACTTGCAAGCTTACCTGTTCAGAGTGTGAACAATTGACCCATTCTTGTATTGGAATTTGGTGGAATTGGTTGAATCTTGAGCAACGTATACGCTTTTCCAAATGCTTGTAACAGAAGTGTTTTGAAATGGTTTGCATGCAAAGTTATTTCAGATTTAGAAGCCTCATCCCATACATGAACAGTCTTTCTTTGCTTCTTTCTCCAGTCTTTTATATAGTGCAGTAATTTTTCCTCACCTTCAGCTGAGTACTTTCTTGAGTATTTGGATGTCTGCCTACAGCATATGAGCAGAATGCTCTTGCTCACTAATCAAAGTTGGCAACAGTCCTCAGAACACTTAAAATTTCTGTCATATCTCATCCAGAATATAGTCAAAGAGAATGAATGGTGATGTAAAAATGGTTGGCTGATGTAAAAAAGGATTGAATGTATCTTGGTGGTAATTATACTTGCAGGAGTTGGGGCTTTGCAGAAATACCTCTGCAAGCAGAGTGCTTCTGAAAGTACTTGAACTGAGTACTTAAGTAAGATTTTTCACTTCTTGGCAATGTTATTCCTCTATGCAGTAATAACACTTCATGGAACTGAACATGAATTTTCTAGTGAATTTAAATTCTAAGCTAAATCTCTAAAAATAATTTATGAATACTTACTATTTTTTTTTAGACAAATGTATGGTTATGAAGAAAAGTAATGGCACTTGAATTAAACTGCTCATTCTTTTCTTCCCTGTAGTTGCTTTTCGGTTATATGATCTAGATAAAGATGACAAGATTTCCAGGGATGAGCTTCTTCAGGTAAATAGCATAGGTCTGCTTTGAATGACTCCATGACCTTCACACCCATTTAGAATGAAGAAGGCAGATACAACAGTCTGCTTAAAAGAACTCCTGAAGGAATTTGGTGGCTAATTGCTTCTCTCTGGTTTAAAGCTTTAGATATGGTATGAGACTTTAATCTCATTTGGTAGCCTAGGCTGTTCTATCAGACTGGGAATGCTAGATTCAAATTTAAACCAGAGTGTTAGGCTAAGCAGATCCTAGTGGAAATGATACCTAAATATCCAACAAATACACTGAGCCCCTTAAGAACTACTTTCTGTAACTTTCAAAGGTGCTTCTAACAGGACTTCACAGGGACAATCCTTGAGGTGGATTAGGTTGTTTGCCTGATCCTCTGTGCATTGTCTCAATAGAATAAAACTTCTTGAAATTGTAGCAAAGGTAATCAAAGTTCATCAATGCTGCATATATATGAAACTAGGCTTGAGCTAGGAGTAATTACATACTACTAATCCTGGGAAGTAGACATGGCAATTTGTGGTTCGTGATGTAGGACAAGGATTTGCTTTTGACTGAAACTGTCCTCTTCTATCTGCCCAGAAAATGCTTTACTACCTGTAGAGAGTAATGGCAGTTATCATTTGACCTTATACTTACAAGATTCCCATAGGCAGTTATCTCAAACAGTAGATATTCAGTCAAATGTTGGTATGTTTTTTTTTTTTTTGGGGGGAGGGGGGTGTGTGGAAATAGGCAAAGCATGGGAACAAACCATACTAATTCCTAGTTCCAACAGCTTTCTTGTACTTCTCCCTCTTCCTGCCACCTACTGAAAAAGCAAGATTTTTTTTTTTGTCAGAGGTGGCCACAAAAGGAAGCTGTCTTTCCTGAAAACCTTGATTTACAAAGGACAAATAGAAGTCTGTCTAGAAATGACTTCCATGGAAGTCCTCCAGGATTGTTCTGGTATGGTGTTATTTTGACAGTATACATGAGAAAAACAGCACTAAGAATACTTCTGTTCCCATGTCAATAATAGTTATTTTGTTTTCGTATTTAATCTGGGGACTTCTGTTTGTTACAGGTATTACGGATGATGGTTGGTGTAAATATTTCAGACGAGCAGCTGGGCAGCATTGCTGACAGGACAATCCAGGAAGCTGATCAGGATGGAGATAGTGCCATCTCCTTTGCAGAGTTTGTAAAGGTTGGTAAACTATGTTTTTAATGACTAAATGAAACTGCTTAGTAATGGGGAAGTCATTCAGACTTAAATGCAAATGGAGACAGAGAGGAAGTTGTTCAAATAGTCCTGCCTGCATTTGGGCAAAGCAAGCTGCCTTATAGCTCTTTTTCAACCCTTCTTTATCAGGACTTTTTTTTTAATACTGTCAGGGTACTAATAATTAGTCCGTATGTTGTATAAGCTACAGCACTGAGCATACTGCAGAATTTTCACTTTATTTTTTTGCAACCAATTCTTTCTGCACAAATAGCCTGACTAGCACAGGTACAAAAGAATAATTCTGCTAAAATTGTGCTGATCAGTTTTCACTTGTAGATTTTATCTGTTAGTGACAGAACTAGTATAAGTATTCAAGTTCCTACCTCTAGTCCTTTGAATGACATCTTTTGTTAGTCAGAAATAGGTGATAGTAAGGAGCCACCACATAGTCAGTGGAGAAGGTTGTCTATAGCAGAACAATTTCAACTACCTAATGGGATGGTGTTGACAAGAGGAACCACACTTATCCTGGAGGTGGACAAAGACAGGACAAGAGGCAACAGAAACAAGTTGCAACATAGGACATTCTGGTTAGCCATAGGGAAAACTTTTTACCATGAGGATGATCATAGCTGCTGAAGATGCAGAACCTCCTTCCTTGAGGATAATTAAAACTTAACTGGACAACCTGATCTAGCTGGCCTTCCTTTAAGTAGGAGTTGAGGGAGTTGGACCAAAAGACCTCCAGAGGTCTCTTCAAACCTAATTACTCTAATCTTGGAACACTGAAGTCTACTGCCTGAAACAGCCTGGAGCAGACTAATGTCTTCATACCTCAGTGTTAATAGCAATTCAGTGAATAAAGTTGCCACCCCAGTTTTACAATGATTTGCGTCAGTGATGCTGTGGTCTTGATTTTAGCTCTTCAATGAGCCGCTTCCTCTACTCTGTTCTCCCTTCTGTTTGCTGGCTGTGCATCCTCACATAATCTAATTTGGGAATCCAAGCCTTTCTGGGCTGTTGGCAGACTAAAACTGCATTAGTTACATTTTGGTTGACAGCCTTCTTCCAGCTTTAATGGCTGAAGTTTCTTTCCTTGGAAGGACCTTAGTCCAGAATGAAAAATAGCAGTCTCTAGATGAAAGACTGGCATGCCAAATTGAAGACATCCCATGTTCCTGCCCACTTCCTTTCTACTAGAGTAAGAAACCTTGGAGGAGCAAAGTATGTACAGTAACTTAAGTAGCTGTTTCTGAATTTTGTTGCAGGTTTTGGAGAAGGTGGACGTAGAGCAGAAAATGAGCATTCGATTTCTTCACTGATGGATGGAGAACCCATTCTTTCTACCCCTACTATATGATGAATAGAACTTCATTTTCTCCTTAGCACCTTCCCCCAGAGCATTGCTACTGGTGCAGATACATCTCCAACCCCTCCCTGATTTGTTCTACCAATGTGAACATTCCCTGTGCATCAGGAACAAAGGGAAATGGCTGCCATGCAACTTGGAAAGGAGCAATTTTTTTTTTTAAATCTTTTCCTTACGTTTTTTTTTCCCTTTCTCCCTTGTCTCCTTCACTGCTGTTTCAGCAAAAATGTCTCTCCTTATGTACTGCTGTTTAATCTACAAACTGATTCTTCTGAGCTCTGAATCTGAGAATGGAAAAACAGGAACACGCCACAGAAGCGCCCTCTGAAATACTTTGGAGACAAGCATCTACTCAAGTACTAGGTGCAGTGATAATGATTCACTTTTGCTTCCAGTAGCGACACCACACTACAGCTGCCTCTTTCCCCCCCATTTGGCTCTTTACATGCAGATTTGTTGCTTTACTGCTTCCAAATCTGCCTTTTACTTGAGGACTTCTCAGTTTCTATGGCTTCATTGTACAACTAGCAGTGCATGCTCAATGATAGCCTGGAGTACTTTTTGTTCTTTGTGGGATGAATTCACAGGGACAAATAAGAGAATCTATGGTGGAGCCAGGCTGTGGTGTCCTCAAAAGGAATAGGAATTCTGCACTAAGTCACTTCAGTTGTTGCAGTAGCAGATGCAGAAACTTGTTTCTTTCCTTTGATTAGCTTGCAGGCTTGACAGCCTAGTGGACCATGAAGTGCCCTCTCCAGGTTCCTTTGCTCTAGGATCCCTCCTCTCATCAGGGTGGTTTTGCCTCAAAGTGCAAACTTGTTTACCAGTGTACATAATGCAAGAAAACTAGCTGTGCCAAAATCTGGATTTGTAGTTCTGTCACTGCCCCCTGGTAATAGTGTCATGAAACATAGTACTGATTTTTTTTTTACAATCCTAGTGGCCTGAATAATCAGTAATTATTTACATTTTCCAATATGGAAGTCCTGGTCTGTTAGACTTGTGTTGAGGGTGGTAGCTGTATTTATGAAAGCTCTGGCATAAGAATATAATTTGGGGAAGTACATGTTATTCCAAATATTTCAGAATATATTTGTATACAAATTTCTTTGCAGGTGGAAGATGATTAATACCATTAATATAATGCTGATAAATTCAAGAGATCAAAATTATTTAAAGTTCAATAGTAACATAATTTTCTGTGGCTAGATTGGCAAATGATCTCATCTAGTTCAGCTGGAGCATCCTACAGTCTGGGAAGTCCTTCCAATAAAACAAAAAAAAACTGGGAGCTTTTTTATTGAAGAATCAGTGTTATAACTGCTTCCCTATGTTGTGTGTTAACATTTCTATAAATACTTACCAGTCTCAGACTACTCTCAAATGTGCATTTCCTTTTTTCTCAGTTCCTTTAATGATCACTTGTGTTAAAGAATAACATGCAAGTCTCTGAAGGATTTTTGATTTGCTTTAAGTTAAGGAATTGCAAAGTGAAATGTCGCACTTCATTGTTTTGCAGAGTGCAGCACAATTCCAGAAATCAATGTAAATTAAAAACCTCTACTCTGTATGAGAAAGAAACATTATAGTTTTATGACCGTGTCATGTAAAATAGGATGTAACAATGTTAACAGATTGAAAAGTAAAAAAAAAAAAGTGTTTGTAGGCTTTGTGATTTGCTTAAAAGTAGGTGTTGCTCTCTTCCAGCTATATAGTTGTAACCTACAGTTGTGCCTTACTGTCCCAGTGAGACTGGATATTGTATTTATCAATCCATAAATAAACCTTCCACTGTATAAAAACAAAAAACCCCAAACAACCTAAAACTATTCCTGTATGGTAATTGACTATTTTTTAACGACTGGAAAAGTTAAATACCAGTAGAATGGTGCTAGCAGGCCTTACAGATCAATTTCTTATAACTGAGCTTTTTTTCAGAGTATTAACAATCCTTTATTCTGCTGGTGGGGTGGAGGAAACATAAGTGTGTGTCCTCTTCTGGAGCTTATACTCTTGCACTATGGATCCCATAACAACATGGGCATTACAGTTCTCCATGGTTCCAAACTAGGCTTCCCCCTGCCCCTGTGTTGTTCAAATTAAAGGATATATAATACTAATGCTAGTTTGTGATGTCTGTCCTCATAAGCCCCCACTTTAGACATCAGGTATTTTTGCTAATGTACTCTTAATAGGTGCCCAGCAAAAAAACCCTGCACCTCAAACAAAGCCCAACTAACTTTCCTGCAATAAAAAACACCTCCTCAACTATCAGAATTTAACTTTGCTGTTAGCTGTATAAATCGCAGGGAAGCCACCGAGTATCTTACTCAGTGTTCTGAAATCTACATATTTAACATGTAACTTAAAACGTGGTAGACAGTAAGACGTTTTATAGAGCTGATATCTTAAATTTATGTTAATTTTAGAATTGTTCAAAACTAAGCAGATTTCCACAAAAGTAATATTTTTAGCATACCTCGTTGCTTGTAGAAATCACCTTAAGTCTTCTTGAGAACAAAGGTCATCTGTGAAGGTTGAAGTCTGGAAGAGCAATAAGATTATCAGCTTGAAGGCAGAGCTACTTAATTATTTCATCATTGTCTTTTGAAAATGCAGGATAATGGATAGGTATTTAAATACAGATGAACCATTTTCCAGACTATTGGCAAATAGGAAGTAAAGTCTGCAGTAAAATCTGCAGACTCAAGTTTGTTATGTTGAAAATCTCTGGATGGTTGGCTGCAGAGATCTATGGTTACAATTAGTTTTCATTAACTGTTAGAGTATTATGAAGACTACAGAAAGTGGAAATGGGCTTGATAGCTAATCAATACTGAAAGGTGGCAAATGAGCTCACTGAAATAGCTGTAGGCCCGTTAGCTTCGCATCAAGTCTGGGCAAAACAAAATCTGAATACAGGATTTGACTCATGAACAGCAGGAGTAAAAATAATGTTAGTTTCCGTAACTTTACAATGGAAAATTACTTTAAAAGTCTGCTTTCAGTTCTTTGAAACTACAACTTTGGTTGTAAATAGCATGTGGATATAGTATTTAAGTTGGCAGAAGTGTTTCATTTAAGCTGACCATCTGCATTAAAACACTACATAGTAGAAAAGTGTGCATTAAATGGCCTAAGATTTCCACTGAAGTGGCTTGTAGTAGTCGTCTGTGATGAATCACGGCTAAATGGGGGTGTTTCTCGAGAGTTTTCTGAATGGGTAAGTACTCCTCTTCAATACATTCACCCATCAGCTTGAAGTGTGAAATTACCGCTGCTAAAAAAAAAAAATAATATTTGCAGATGACACAAAACCTGGCAGAATGGATAAAAGGAGTCATTCAGAGCAATCAAGATCACTTGGTGAGGGCGGCTCATGCCAGCGGCTGTGCTGGTTCAGCCGGGATTTCACGGGCACAGGCAGGCGGCGGCGGGGCAGGGCTGACGTTGCTGCGCGGTGAAATGGAGGCCGGGGGAGCGGCAGC